ATAAGCCTTACTATTTTTTTGTTACACTGTTAATCTGGTTGCCAAGTTAGAGATTATGACGGTTGGAAACACCGATTTCTAGAGGTAGCTGCTTAACCAGGAAGGGTGGTTATCAACTGATGTAAGTGACTAACCCAATTTGTTATGGAGTGATATATATGCGTTGGGAATGCGTTGATGTGAATGTTTAATTAAAATTTGTATCAAGTTGGAAAGACAACTACAGGAGAAGAGTGAGGAGCTGAAGAGGTTTTTCCCCAAAGAGTGAGAAACGTAGCACTTTTGGGACGTTGAGTTGAACAATCTGGTCGAGCAACTGCGTCGTGTGGAGAAAAAGGCAGCAACAAAGACAACTAAACTTAAGGCAAAAACTATGCTGGCACTCGAGGCTAAAGACGATGTAGGGCCGACACTAGCGGTAAAACAGAGCATATAAGGTGCTGATCGAGCCATACTTTAACCAGAACTGGATAGAGTCCAGCAAGAAGCAGACTCGATGGATAGATCTCATATTGAAGCTTTTTAACAAGCTATAGATGACAACAAAGCGGAGTTAGCCAAGAACCGCACAATGTTTGAGGCTGCGTCGACACTAAAGTATTCTAAATGCCATGATCAGGGCTACATCGTGGGCTACGACGGGCAATATCATATAGACAGATGAGATACCCGTCATAAATTTGGTAGAAAGAAAGAAGGAAAATTTTCCTGTCCCTTCTTAATTGGCAGATGAGGTTGCGAAGCTGAAGACATCTGGGGAAGTTGAGTCGGGTTCTAACTTTGAAGAGATACTAGAAGAGACAACTTCTGTCAATTATGGGGCTTCCCATGAAGATCCGTCTGTTACAGATGAGGGTAAGGTTATTGATGTCATAACTGCTTTCGAGATATAATTGTAGGTTTTTATTCTAAGACGATCTATTTAGCTAGAAATGGGGCTTATCCCTCTTATAATTCGTACAATTTGCCCCAATCGTGGGACTCAGGTTTTTGCACTTATTCCTTTGAAATGAATTAAACTTTTTGCATGTTGATTGTGCTTTCAATGCATTGATCGGACTAAGAATGAGAAATTGTCGAATCATACCTAGAATATTCTCCAGATTTCCTAAGTCCTTTGTCAAATTTATTTGATCATGACCTTATGTCCGTTTATTTGTTCATCTCGCTCTATTCTGATTCTTAAGACTTTAGAGATTGCAACATGCTACTGAGAAGGGGCAGCTTCTTTCCTAGTTCGAATTGCATGTCCATCCCTAGTGAATCTTAGACGAAAATTCATTAGGGACTTGGTTGCTTGCATATAGGTCAGAAACACTTTTCGAATCTTTTTGCCAGACCCTTTACGTTGGACCTTGCATTTCTTATTGGACTGCACTTAGCTTATTTAACTAAGGCATTTCAATGTATTGGAGCTCATTTGGATTAAAATTCCTCTGGTGGATTTCCTAGTCTAAATGCCTCCCTTAGACCTGCTTAGACCCATGGTGTCGCCAAACATACTTGACTTAGTATACTGGTTCGAGATGGAAGTAATCGTACTCAAACTCGAAGTTAAGAGCCACACCTCGGATGATTTTCGGATCGCACTATTGACTATTCCCTCGAATGGCATAGAGCCCAGGTTTGAATGTTATAAACCACAACATTTAGGCTGCATAAATTTTCTGGAGGCCGGATGGTGTATTGGACTTCCAGGTCAATGTCCTAGTACCCATAGCTCACCTATCATAACTGCACTTACATCTCAAGCCTCCCAAACTAGTAATGAATACTACTGATAGGCTAAAGGAGTTTCATACTTGCATTTATGGGAATTTTCAAAGCCGTGTGTTTTTTGGGATTTTAGGGCATCCCCAATATCACTAAAAGAAAAGAACGAACAAGCAAGGTGAAAGTAGTGACATAATCGAATGTTAAAATTCTTATTCATAAGAGAATGGTGAATTGATAAAGAGGCATGATTGAAACCGGATAGGATTGCCTACACATCTATCAGAAGGAAAATCAAATCACTGGTGTAGTTTTAGAATCAAATCATTATTTTTCGTATAACATCGTGGCATTCTAGTAATGCATAATGTGATAGTTTGGGGGTGCCGACTCAATGGTTGATGAAAACAAGCTTTTGGTTTTGCCAACAATTGCTAGAGATACGAGGTTGAATTTCCCTCGAGGAACCGCTAGCTCTATCACGGTTCAAGGGTTGGCGCTGTTTCTGCTCCTCCAAGGATTACTGGTCATTCAAGTTCAAATGACGAGGTTACATTTGAGACACTCATGAAGTGTCTAAGGGACCAACATCATTTTGGATATGTATCATTCTTCCAAAAGCGTTGTTCACAACCTGTCTATTATGTGGGATGCTTATGCCTAGATTAACAATTTCTATTAAGGTTAAGGTAGAAGTCGGCACGATGGGCTGACTTTCTGAAGTTTGAAGTTATGGTGCTTATGTTTTCATAGTTGAGGACATGAATCTGGGTCTGTGGAGTGGTCCGACTAGGGTTTTCCAAAGCTTTCATCCATTTCTCAGCGTCCACAAAATTTGTATGATTCTCAGCTCGATAAGCTATATAACTATCTGCAATTTTTCAGTAAAGGTGTTAATCTTCAGCAAAGTCTCCTAGATTTTTCTAGAGTGGGGTAAGATCCAACTATTGGAGCCTCATTGTTCCCTCATATGGTTGGAGCATGAGAGGTTTGGTTGCTTGCCCCTGGAATGGTGAAAGAGTTAGGTAGAGTAATTTGGTAATGCAGAAGATGAGTTCACTCAAAATGATAGCACCAATTATTGGACTCAAATTTGTGCACCACCGTGAAGGGTGGAGATGCACAAATCAATTTGCATGCAAAATAGTAAACAATCGTAAGTAGCTGAGTACCAAGGGGTGTGCCGGTCAAAAGATCTCTGACAATCAATTAAGTACTGTTATGAGATTAAAGTAGTATTTATTAAGTAATGTTACGAGATTAAAGTAGTAGGTAAAAGAATAAGTGTGTGATAATTACGTTACCAGAGATGAACCCTAGAATGATGTATTTATACCAGTCGAGGTAGAGACCTTTAAGGATAGAGAATCCGTATTAAACCGGAAAAATCCTAAAGGATATCTAGGAAGTAGTTATTGCATCATCCCAGGAGTGTGATTACATGTAGAGCACACCAATCCTTAGATTATGAGGACTCCAAGATTATAGGAAACCTGTTGATTCCTTGCTAGGTTAGGTTTCTGTATCTTGGGGAACAATCATGATCAATCTCAGCTAAGTCTTTGAACTTCGACCACTGCTTCATAACAGAATGATGGTGGCATCACTACTCCGTTTATTCAACTTCGCTGGGAAGGTGTTGAATCCATGACTGGACTTTTACAATATTTGTATTTCGATCCGCCTTGTTTCATCAGTGGAAAATCATGGTCTCGCAAAACAGAAACCAAGATTGACAAGGTATAAAAGAATAAATCACTACCCCACACTTGTTTTTCTATAAACTGTACATGAAAGGAATTCTTAATAAGTAATGCTCCACTATTCTTTAAGAAAAGGGTATGGGTATTCCTATGCTAGGTTCATCATTCTAAAAATCCCTGCCTAGCGTCGCCTAAGCACTAGGTGGTTGGCCACCGCCTCGATTAGTCCCTAGGTATTTGAAAATTAAGAAAGTGCATCTAGACCTGCTTAGGTGCTTGCATTGTCCACCTAGGTGCTCGCCTAGCTCACCTAAACCCGCCTTGGCACCCGCCTAGATCTCGACTCTCACTTAGACAGAAAATCAATAACTTTTATTTTACATTTTATTTTTTCAATAAAATGTAAGAGATTTATAAAATATGTGGGTGAACGCTCATTATATACTTATTCTCCATGTTTTCAATATGTTCTAATACTTTATAACATGTATGTCACTTTATTTTTCAATTTGTGAATACAATTATGTGTTTTTCTTTAAGAATAAATAGGCACTTATTTATACAAATATATAATAAATTTACTAAAATCTGCCTAGGCCTAGTTTAGCCGCCTAGGCGCTAGGCCCCAACCTGCCTTCCAACTTGCGCCTAGCGTATTTTAGAACCTTGACTAGGCTAGGTAGGGATTATACGGGTTAACAAAGAAAAATAGGATTAATAAGGCTCAAAGGGTTAATCCTACAATGTATATGCAAGGGATAAGCCTATTTGGTTATGGTGGTAACTAGAAACCTTCATCTTGTTATGTTTGTTATGTAATCAATTCAATACTTTGAACGAAATGGGCATGAGTTCTAATATTTGGAACTAAAACATGAATATATATTCTAAGTAGCAACCAAGCAAAGAAGTAAAGAGGTCATGCAACGACTTTTGAAAACAAGAATATTCACATATTAAAAACTCTACAAGCAAAGCATAGACTCAAGTCTTATAGGGTTGTAATGTTACTTTGAGTGTCTTCCTTCAAGCATGTTATGAAAACTAATTATATTTTCTTTGTAATTAAATGTGAATTCGCAAATGACAACCTACAACTAAGTATGAACCAAATAGCATATCAAACCTTCACCCATGCTTGTAATTTTCTTTAACAGTCATGCAATTAAAAACCAAATCCTCATCATTGTGTTGGAAGGTACCCTAAGTCACAAACAAACAAACAAAAACTAACCAATTGACAATTTGGTTTTTCAAATTTTTTTTAGCAAACACAAATTAAAACAGTGAAAAATAATGATGGTGAAATTGAAGAAAAATCATGCAAAACAATTTGTTTACCCCTCCCCTCAACCAACCACTACCCCACACTTAAACCAAACATTGTCCTTAATGTATCAAAAATAAAACTCAAACAAGAAAGCAATAAAAGGCATACGCAAACGAGACTTACAAAACAATACAATCATGGTCAAGAAAAAATAATAACGAGAACAGTAAACGAAAGCAAATTTGAGTGTAGAAGCCGAAAATTCAACTGTTTCCTACTTTGAACACATAGGTTGCCTCCTAAGAAGCACTTACTTTAATGTTTTCCAAGCAGACGATACCTTCATTTAATGCTCACTAAGAACTGCTGCATGGTGGGGCATGTCTTTCAAAAAATGCTCCTCATTACTTTTACACATTGGATCTTTGAACGGAATGTGATACTTTAAAATCCAATATCAGTTTAAGGTAAAGTGTGGCTACCTGAATTATTGAAGCTAACAACATATTAGTAGAAAAGAGAATTGTAAATGGGGGAGGTGCTTACTTTTGTGCTGTGGTAAGAACTCAAGGGCAGCCAAGATTTCAAAACTTGTAAAGTTGTTCTTCTCTGTTAGACTTGGTTTGAGGGCAGTGGCTTGTCTTGTGTGACCAAATCCAATTCCTTTGGCGGTGGCTGTCTCATATATATCTTTATTGATAAACTGTAAATATTCCCTTACTACTTCTTTTTCTGGAATCTTTCTTCTTATTGTACAAAGCTATTTAAAAAATTTAGCATATATAGAAACTTGCATATGGTATCAAGAAGCGGAATGTTAACTTGAACCTTTCGGTAATTTTCCAAGATGACTTTCTTATCCTTTTCATTCTTAGACTAAGTAAATTTGCAAAGGAAAGGTACATTTGGATTAATAGGGCTACAAAGAATTGAATTTGGAACAACTTCAATGGAATTGAGTGGCAAAGAAGCTTTACGGATTGAAGCACTAGGCTTCAAGATGGTTGTTGATTGCGGCAAGGATTGTTCCTTCCTTTCCATGGCTAGATCATTCATATCATTTTCAGACAGAAGCTGTTTGTCCATTGTTTGGCTATGTTTAAATGTCTTTGGTTTAGTCAAACCTCCATATCACTTCTCAAAGTGATAGCGTTAGTGGTTTCAAAACCTCCAATTGGATTAACAATAGTTGAACTAAGGAGTTTGCCTTGTTCTCGATTTTTTCTTAAGAATTCTACTATTTACTCCATTTGATTCTTCAAATATACCAATTCCTTAACTTGATTTTGGTGTCCCTAAATCACAGAAGCATTAGAAGCAATTAATGTTTGAAGAATTTTAACATGCTCCACGAATAAACTAAATTTGGTTGGAATTGTTGTGGGGGACTTTGTGATGGCACCATAGACATTGGATAAAAGTTGTTAAGGACCCCTCCACATAAAATTCAGATTGTCTCTCCAGCCCAGATTGTAAGTGTTGAAGGACGAGTGATTCCTTAGTTGATTGTGGCCTTGATAACCCACAACAGTGACACTTTCTTAACCTCTATTCTCAATTAATTGACGACATTGATTAGTTTGATAACCTTGCATAGAGAGCACACCAAATGCACGTGTCCACCACACTTTGCATCTTAGATTGTTCAAGAATCTGTGACATAATAAAAGTAATTAAGATTAGCCATTTGAGCTTTAAGTTTTAATAGATTGGCAATTGCCATGTCTTGCTTCTCTAGTACCTTGAATCAAAGAAATTAAAATGAAATAAAAGAACAAAAGAAAGACAAACAAAAAACACATAAGGATTAGTAATTTCACTCATCCCTAACAACGACACCAAAATTTGATGTGGTAGAAACTTACACTCAAATTAAAACCCTGCAAACAATATGATCATAGTACAAGTAAAGACCCGCAAACACTCAAATGAAAAGCTAGTTAAATGATACTTCTCCATACATAAAACATATGCACATAAATCGATTTCTAGTTATTCTTCTTATAAACCATGAATGATAGTGCTCCAAGTTAACAATTGCACACTCATTTCCCTCAAATTTTCCTAAGTTATTGAAAAGGAAGACACTTTGCTCATAATTATTCTTATCAAGACATCTAACACACATGACAGATATTCACATCAAAGATTATTTTCTGCAAAAATCAAAAGTATTGACAAAATGTTTGTTACTATGACACATGATACTCTTGCAAAGGATTTAACTTATCTTAATCAACGTCCATTGATTTTAACTACTTATGGATACAAGTTCATAATGATTACGTGAATGTCTTGTATATTCTAGCTCTAAATTTCTGCATGCAAACTTGATGTGAAAATTAACTTGACACACAAATTAAACCCTATTAAACATGTAATTGTAGTATTAAGCAAGTAGGGATCGTTCTAGACCGGGGATTAACTAGGGCCACTAATCAACACAAATAAAACTCAAAAATACTAAACTAGACTCTATAAACTCAAAACTGACTCAAAACACTCAAAACAGCAAAACTAAGTTAAAAAGACTCAAAACAGACTCTAGGGAGCTATTTGGAAGAATTTAAGACTAGTAAGACTCAAAACAATAAATTGGACAGATTTAGACACTTTTCTAACTAATCTAAGACACTTAATTAAAAGGGGGATTGATTTGGACGAAATTTAACTAAACTAAACAGATTGCAAAACAAAGTAAATTGGGTGATTTGAATGGTGAAAACTTAGCTAGAGGATCCTTATCCACACATGACATATGCATATAAACCAGTTTCCAGTATTGTTCCTTTAGACTATGAATGACAACACCCCAAGTTAACCGTGATAGCACAAATTAACCATCAGATTTTCCTTAACTCATTGAATTGGACGGGATACACATCACAACTAAATTATCCTTCTCAAGTTCCCTAACTATGAAAAGCATGATAGAAAAACATATCAAAGGTCATTAAATTCTTTGAAAACCATAAGCATTGACGAGGCATTCGTAACTATGAAAAACATGATACTCCTGCTAATGATTTACTTAACACAATCATGACTAGTGACTTCCACTACTTGTGAATATAAGTTCATAACGATTAGGTGAAACTTCCTTATACTCTAGCATCAAGTTTATGCATGAAATTTAAGTATGCATCCTCAATCAACATACATAAACAAGTTTTAATAACTCAGATGAGCAAATCACATTCAAGACTCAAGAAACAATAATTGGATGTAATCAATTCATATCAAGCATATAATCATGGCCTCGAATTCACCTCTAACTAAAAAGAAATTAGTTCCACATGTCTTTAGAAACTGAAATAAACATTAAAACCAACATTGAAACAAATTTAAAGATAGAAAGAACCAGGAACGTCCCAACAACTCCAATGGCAAATTCGAACCCTCTTTGGATTGCAAGCCACGGCACCAAGCTCCTTCTTCCTTCCTTGCTACGTTACTTGATGAATCTTTGAGAAATTGACGTGAATTGTGGTTTAGAATGAATATGGGGGTGGTGGTCTGATTTGTGCAACATAATGATGTATTTATAGTCTATAACTCACGGCACAAAGGTAGCATAGGAGAAGGATTTTAGCACTTCAAGTCCATAAAGAAAAAGGTTAGGGTTTGGCGGAAACCAAGGGCAAAAAGGATTACACATCAAAAACCATCAAGAATAAGGATATAGGGTGCAACACCAAAATAGGAAAAGGCATTCTAGAAAGGCTAAGGTGCGGCAAGGTCTTCTAGAAAGGAATGAGGCGCCACCTTTGTAGGATAGGGACAAGACTTCTAGAAATCAGGTATTTAGATCCCCTTGCAGCTGGAATTAAGGTATGATAAGATTAAGATAGGATAAGATAAGATAATGTTAGTTTGGATAAGATAAGGTTGGATAAGGTTTTGGATAATGTTTCCTTCTTTTGAGCTGATTCCTTATCTTCTTTGCCTAGAATTTATTTTCTTCATCTTTTTAGCACATTCCTAGCCTCTTGAACTTCAAAAACGTCCATCCACCTTGCTCCATGCATGTGTTATCCATTTTTAGCCCAAAACTGCTCTAAAATGCTCCAAAATGCATTTTCTTGCCAACTTTGTCATTGGGATCTACAAACACACAAAAATAGCTTAAAACACTATAATAAGTAGAAACTATATATGAAAATGCAAGAAAACAAGCTAACTAAGTCGTATAAATATGCTCCTATCAAAACTAAGTTTGGCCATTCTAATAAACATACAATATTAAGTTTTCTATAAGCCAGATAAGTAAATCACGTTCACATTTTATGAACGCAATAATTGGATCTAATCAATTCATATGAAATAGATGTTCATGGCTTCGAATTCAACTCTAGCTAAAAGAACTTAGTTACATATGTTCATCATAATTGAAAAGCAAGTTATAATAAACATTGAAACTAAATAACAAAGATAAAAAGAAAGAAACTAAGAACTCCTATGTCTTCAATGGATGAACTATCGAATGAATTATGTGAGAGGCTGTAGAGAATTATGGTAGAGGGGTCTGAAAGAGAGGAGAAGTTGGTGTTACTGAAGGAATTCTCTCCTTAAGGTCTTGATATAAGTATATATATGTGTATAAGAGAGTTTGGATTATAGTAGGACTCTAGGGAATCAGCTAGAGAGTGTTTCAAGTTGATTGGGACTCTTTCATTCAATTGGAAATACGATAGGATAATGTGTACAATAGATGCCTATCCTTTTTATAATGTTTCACTCCAACTATGACTCCTCTTCATTTTGCAATTCCTTGTCTTCAAAACCTCATCTTCAAATCCTCCAGATTTTGCACATGTTTGAACCAATTTAAACGCAAAAAACATTCATCCAAATGCAATGCAAAACCAAGTCCTATTCAACTCCTTTTTGCTCTATTTAACCTCCAATTGTCACTTTGCCAAACTGGACCTACAATAAACGAAAATAATATAAAGCACTATAACAAATGGAAATAACTAAGTAAATGTAAAGTAACAAGATAACAATTTCGCATAAATATGCTCTTATGAAATAGTGGATGGAAACAAAGAAAGCCTTTGAATGCTAGTTGTAAAAAATCCTTCTCGGAAATCCTGATTCTCATCTTCAATGCGTTGTATCATGTCCAACATGGATTGAAAGAACCAGCAATTTCATTAATAAAAAGTAGATCAATTCAACAAAAATAATATGTAAATCATAATAAGAATGATTAAAATGTAATACTCCCCTAAATTGAAGATGATCAAACTCTCTTTAGTGCAGCGTCAAAACCATGCTGATAACATGTTGTAGTATGAATTTAATGAGGGAAATTGGCCAGAGAGAAGAGAATTGAGATAAGGGTTTAAGGAATTCTGTGTGCCATATTACTCATGCCCTGCACCTTTATTTATACTAATAAGGGAGAGAGAGTCCTTCCTCTCCAAGTAATACAACTACAGCTAGGCGGCTGCCACCATCCCATTTAATTCCTAGGCGTTTGAAAATTAAGAAAGGGCAACTAGACTTGCTTAGGCTTCTGCCTAGCTTGCCATGTAGGTGCCCATTTAGACCCGCCTAGGCACCCACCTAGGTCGCGACTCTCACTTAGATAGGATATAGATAACTTTCATTTTGTATTTTATTTTTTTAAATAAATTGTACGAGACTTGTTGAATACTTGGATGAAACACTCAGTATATTCTGATTCCCCATGTTTTTAATATGTTCTAATACTTTCTAATCTATATGTTATTCTATTTTTCAATTTATGTATCCCAACACAATTATATACTTTTTAAGTATAAACTGACACTTATTTATATATATAATAAGTTTACTTAAATCCACCTATTTGCTTAAGCCTACGCCTAGGCACCACCTAGCCGCTTAGGCACTCGTCGTTCGTCTAGCGCCTAGTGTCTTTTAAAACCTTGATCACACTCTTAATGTAATTAGGATTACACAACAACAATATTGTCACTAAAAAAATCCTAAGATGAAACCCTTGCTCCCACAGAGGGAGTTTATACCGCTAACATTTGGACCCTCGCCTTAAATGAAAAAAAATAAAACAAATAGAAATAATTCTAACAAGGAAGATTTCCATGGCCATTGTCCGTGCTGAAACTCTGGCTCTTCCGCAGTTGAGAAATAGAGTTTACGAAAACTGAAGACATTCGATCAAGCTGCCTCATCGACCGCACCTTCAACGATCCACAATTAGTAAGAACTGGCTTCGAAGAAGCACAATCAGAAGAAGAAGAAGAAGAAGAAGAAGAAGAAGAAGATGATGATGATGATGATGATGATGATGAAGATGGCTTGTCATCACTATCTGTGTATATATTGATAAGAACGTGGGAATGATCCAAAGACAAAGACCTCTCCAACCCCTTTAACAAAATTTGTTGCTTACTACTATCCTTCATAGGCAATACCACCAGTGACACGCAATGCCTAAGCAAACCATTTGGTTTTGATAATTGAGTTGTAGTAGTGGTAGCAGTGCTAATTGGTAAACCCTCCTCTGGATCGTGAGGGTGCGATGAGCAACTAACCGGGCCTGCTTCTTCGAGTTCTTGGTCTCTAACTTGATCATCATGATCATGATCATATTCCACAGGCAACGTTGATGAAACAGGCACAATAGGCACATCTATAGCTGACCTACAAACCGGACAATTAGAATGCCCCATAAACCACGTCTCTATGCATGGATTGTGAAACACATGCTTGCAACTCGGCATCAAACGCACCAAATCCCCGTCTTCTAGGTCTCCCAAGCAAATCACACACTCGCTCTGATCCATGCGAAAAATTTCACCATCTTCCATTGAATACGTGAGAATCGGAATCGTATTCAAGACTTTCTCATCAACCCCAATGGATTGGCTGGTGGCTGGTTGTTGCGCGAGGCTGGCTTGAAATTGCAGTTGCATCTGCCGTTGCCTCCTCCGCAGGAAATACTTGACGACTAGGAAATGGTACGCAACTATTGCTAGGGTTGTGAAGACAATGCCGGCCATGGAAATCAAAAGGGGTGTGAAGAAAGAACCCGAACCTGAAGCTCCTACCACTTGAGTCCCAACATTCTCCATCTCTCAATTCAATCTAGTTTTTGGGCTTTTTGGTGTTTTAGGGAAAAAGAGTGAGAGAGAAAGGTTTACAAATAAAGAAAGTGTAGGAATGTAACACTTGGTTGTGAGTGAATATATAGAAGGCCAGAGTGTAGAGAGAGCAACCCTTGGATATCGAATTTCTTTGCAATAAATTTGGGATATGATCATTTGATCGTTGAGTGTTTCAAATGGTTTACACGTATATCCGTTATGGTGTGGACCACTGTGCAGGAAACGGTTTTGTGGTATGTCTTTTGCCAAGTGTAAGAATTTGATAGAGAATTTTATGTATTTTAATGTTTTGAGTATTTTATTTCTTAATATCGTGTAGACACTAAATATTGGTTTTAATACCTTTTGTATCCCTTAGTTTGGATTTATATCTGGTTTCGTGTTGTAGGTTGGTTACAGTGCTTACATTTTACTCAGTGTATGAGTTTTATGTAAGATATAACTATTAATAAAATTATAAGATTCTAATATGCAAGATTTAAATTGTTGATTTATGGATCATCCAGTGATCCATACTATAAAAAAAAATTGTTGTTTGGAATCAGAAAAACTTGTGTAGAGACACTTAAGCCTCGTTTAGCAGCTCGGACTGTATTGATTATTTCAATTGGATAAGATAAATAGTTTTCGGATAGTACTGACTAAATTAATTGGGCGTTTGGTGTAATACCAGTTTAATGACAGTATTATTTATACTATACCAAATATGAATTAAATGTAATTATCTAAAAACCCAAATACTTTTCAAATCCTAATCTTCAAAATAAAAAGCAAATTAAAAAGCCCCAAATTGAAGCAAAATCTAATTTAAAAAATAAATAAAAAATTGTCCATATGAAATTTTTCCTAATTTCCAAGTCGATCATCATTCTCAGCCAAGATTCCAAAATAAACCCAAATCAGATCAGAAGGAGCAGCAAAAATTATCCAATTTGATTCGATGGGGAGAACCCAATTCAAATCGCATAGAAATTTAGGAACTATAGTCCTAGGTGAACTGGAGAAACCCAAAATGACACAAGTTAGGGGTGGGCAAACGGATATAAAAACTACGGGTAAGGGCGGGTCCAAAATTTCTAAACACAAAACGGTTGGGGCGGTTCGGGTATACAAAATTAACGGGGCAGGGTGGTTAGCATGGAATATAATTGAATTTTTTTCCCCATCCTAGTCTTCTCGATCTCTCATCCCGATTCCTCTCCTTTTACTCAGAGTCTCAGACCTCGATCTCTCCTCCTAACTCGCTCCCACCGTCCCAGCTCCGTACGCCGCCACCATTATCATCAGACCTCGATCTCTCTTCCTAATTCGCTCCTGTCTATTTCGCCTCTGGTATTTTGGGTGCTTTTCTGTTTTTTATCTTGTGCATGTTTGGGTGCTTTTCTGTTTTTGATCCTGTGCATGTTTGTTGGATTCAAAAAGCAGAGATTTGAGTGCCCTGTTTCTCAAAAGCTCTAAATTTGAAAGTAGAGGTAGGAAGCTTAAGCCTCCTAGTATGGCTTACTCCATTTTTACCGATGTCAACAAAGAGACTCTGGTAGGTCTTCTGATCTTGTGTGTGTAACTATTGTTCTTGTTTTCGAAACCGAAATCTTGGGATTTTGATGATTTGGGATTTTTTTTTTTAGTAATCACTTTTGGCGTTTGTGCTTTTGATTTCAAACGTTTCAGGCACCACTGTTTGAGACTCCCAAGGCTGACCCAAAAAATGTGGCTTCTATAATTTTGAGTGGAGGTGTTGGAACTCGCCTCTAACCCTGGACAATTTCTAGATCTTCTCAACATAATTTGGAAAGCTCCGGCGATGTCAAAGATGTGGAGGATGAGCGACAGAGTGAGTCCGGGAGGCAATGTCTAGAACTGTGGACCTGTCTCGAATCTGCCCATTTGAAACGGATCGGTTAGGTCCGGTTCCAATGATCAGATTTGTCATATCCAGCCCGGCCTAGCCCATTTCCTTTTTAAGTGGGTCCGGTCCAGTCCCTCCAAATTTGGGCCCAGCCAGGTCTGTGCCCACCCCTAACACAGGTGTCATAGAATTACTTAGTTTAGATACCATATGATTAGGTACCATTCTCAAGATTCCAAAATAAACCTAGACCAGATCAGAAAAACCCAATTCAAATTCGACTGTTGTGAATGAGAATGAAACTCTCTTTTGTATGGTGCTTGGCGCAATGAGGAGAGAGCAACGACGAGAGAAGGTGACGAGGAGAATGGTGATGGTGAGAGAAGGCGATAAGGAGACTGACGTCGACGAGAAGAGACGACGGGGAGAACGATGACGGCTATAGGAGACGACGAGGAGAATGACAACGACGAGAGGGATGACAGCGAGAACAACGACGGTGAGAGGGACGATGGCGAGAAGAGGTGTCGTGGAGAATGAAGTGTAAGAGAGAGGAAAGGGAACTAGACTAATAATCCACTCCTTTTGGAAGGGTTTATTAAGAAGGTGTATACCCTACTAAATAAGCAAACTAATTAAATTAATCCGGCAACTATTAAACGAGGGGACACCAAACAATCGGGTCCGTATTATTAGTCATATCCAATCTCTTATACAACCTACCAAACAAGGCCTTAAGGACTTCAAATTTTGTTTATGTCTTATATAATAAATTTTGTTAAAATTACAAAAAAGCGGCTAGAAACCTAGGCGCTAGATCCCTATCCACCACTCGATTAGTGTCCAACATTTTTTAGAACCTTGAATGGAACTAAAACAAAAATTTGAGCGAATTGCAAGGACTAGGATCATATTTAAGCTAGTAATAATTAATATATGATACTACCTATTTAATAGTATTCATCTTTATTTGTAAATTAGAGATTGTAGATTCTAATCTTGTAGATGACTAGTTTGATACTAAACTAATTTTCTACTCTTTAGTATAAATATATCTTGTATCAAAGAAGAAGTATCATGTGTGTGTGTGTGTGTGTGTGTGTATATAATGATGGAGACAAAGAAAGATTTGATCGTTTGGAGTAGGCTCAGCAGGCACCAACAGAAATTTAATTTTGTAATGTGACATTGGACAGTTGGATTGTTTAAGGGGATGACAGGTGACAGCTTTGTAGTTGTAGATGATAATTAGTAAGGTATGATATAGAAATTTTCAAAAGAAGCAATAATAAGTTAACAATAACAAGAATTTGACTTGGTGCCATGGAGCCTCAGTCATCTGCGGCTTTTTGTGGAAGCCGTGTATTGGATTATGGTGGATGCTGACCACAAAGGACCACATTGAGAAGGTTTTTGTTGTGTTGTTGTGTTGTTGTGTTGTTGTGTTTACACTTTGGTTTCTGTCACATTTCAGGTTCTGTTGTAGCTGCTTCATGTTTTTTTTTTTTGTCAAACGATAGATTTGTTAGATTAGGTATTAGATAAGGAAGTCGACACGATTCAAACCTGTGTTGTAGTGTAATAGCAACACTTCTATTCATCATTGTAATAAAGAGCCAATTGCGTAGCTGTTCCATGTTTAATGACACTAGAATATGTTTTGGCTCTGGTACTAGTGTATTCGTACACTTGAATTATTTACCAAGGACCTTTTTACAAATTTCAAGTATCATCTCGTAATGCAAAATTGTCGTACAAATTTCTAATGTCATATCAACTCTAGGTCTGGTTGCAACTTGTCGTCCGATTATAAATTGAAGCAATGTGTTACCTTAAACTTATAACATGTTACACTGTGAAACCTACTACAAAGTCCGTTGAAAATTATGTTAAAAATAAGGGTAAATTACATAAAACTACCTCAACTATTGGGTCATTAACGGTTTCATACCTCGTCTTTAAAAAAATTCAATATCGTACCTTATCTTTGAATTTGTTGCAATGTCATACTTTCCGTCAATTGTCTGTCAATTTCTTTGTTAAATGCTGATGTGGCTTGAGACGAGACCCACTTTTTATTAAAAAATTAATTAAATATTATTAAACACTAAAAAAATCATTTAATATTTTTTAAATATTAAAATAATAATTAATTAAAGAAAAGTTATAAAAAAAAAAATTTTAAAAACCCAGTTCATCTTCCCCACCCCCTTCTCTCCCCACCCGAGCCCACTCCCTCTCTCTCTAATCCCGTTTACAAACCCCTCCCCTCACCTTCTTCCCCAGCATACCCGTCCCCCCACCTCCCTCCTTCACCACCAAAACGACGGCGTCAACCCGAACCCAGACTAGGAACCGGACTTCATTCCTCAAATGGGTGTGTGTAGGTTGTTCAAGCTGCTGTTCATGTTGGGATGGAAATGGTGATGTCAGTCAGCAAAGAAAAAATGGGGAATGGTGATGTTGTTGCAGAAATCGCCCCAGATTTGGGGATCGCCATTTTCCAAATCCCTAATTTCTTACCTACTTGGGCGAAGTGGGTGCTTTTTGTGGTTGTTTGGGTCGATTCAGGGAGGAATTTTTGAAAATGGAGCTTGAATCGAAGATGGAGGATGAGAGGATGGCGGTGGGTAAGTGGTTCTGGTTTTGGTGGTGAAGGAGAGAGGTAGGGGGACGAGTAGGCTGGGGAAGAAGGTGAGGGAAGGGGTTTGTAAGTGGGATTAGAAAGAGAAGGAGTGGGCTTGCGTGGGGGGAGAAGGGGGTGGGGAAGACGAACTGGGATTTTTTTTTTTAACTTTTCTTTAATTAATTATTATTTTAATATTTAAAAAATATTAAATGATTTTTTTAGTCTGTAATAATATTTAATTAAATTTTCTATAAAAAGTGGGTCCCGCCTCAAGCCACATCAGCATTTAACAGAGGAATTGACAGATAACTGACAGAAGGTATGACATTGCAACAAATTCGAAGATAAGGTATGACATTGAAACTTTTTAAAGACGAGGTATGAAATTGTTAATGATCCAATAATTAAGGTAGTTTTATGTAATTTACCCTAAAACTAATCATGATCATAGGTGTTTCAATCATTCACCAATGCAAAACCATTCAACCAAAAATGGGCTTTATATCACAAGATTTTCACGACAAAAGGGCCCTATAAGAGCAAGTCCACCCATGGTGGTTGCTCGGGGGACAAGCTCCAGGAAAGGGCCCGAGGGCCGGGGGGGGTGGGCAATCGACAGGCCTGTGGCCCAAGGCCCATGACGTCAGGCCTGGGTCCGGCCTTTTTTTTTTTTTTTTTTTTTGTTAGGCGCGTGCCCCTTACTCGCGAGTGGGGGCGCATCGCCCAACCGGATTTCAAGGCACGGGCCCGCGCGAGGCAGAAAACCCAATGACCATTGGGAAGCCACGTGGCTTCCCACGGTCCGTTCGATCCCAACGGCTCTTTAATACGAGCTGTCCGATTTGCAACGGTAATAAAAAAAAGCTGATTTTATATCAACCGTTCGATCTATGATCAACAGTTGATATTAATCTACTTTATAAATTAAAAAAAAAAGAAAAAATAGTTTTAAAATTAAGAAAAGTTACCATTGTGACACGTGGCACAATCTGGAGTGTTGGAATTCAAATTTTTTAAAATCCAACGACAGAGATTAATTATTTGAATAAAAAATTTTAAAAAAAATTGTAAAAAACCTGAAAAAATTGTAAAAAATCTGAAAAAAATGTGTAAAAAATTGTTTTTATTTTTCTATAAATACCGCTTCTTCTCCATCTACCTTACACCACAATTTCATATTTTCTCAACTACTTTCAATCAAATTCCTATCTTTCTCTCAAAGTTTCAATCCAATTTTTTTTTCCACAAAATGACTACTGATGCAGGTACGAATTGGTCGCTTCTTGAATATGTTGCGTTGTGCACTAGCTGGGTTGAAGTTATTCATAATTCCCTTAGGGGTAAAGAGATGCAGTTGCGAGAAATGTGGAGTTTAATTCATACCAAATTTCTTGAGCAAATAGGTGGGAAAGGAACCAAAGAATCGATGTCCAGTCGTTGGAAAATACTTTGCCATTCCTTTAGTACGTGGAGAGATGCCTTGACACAAGCTAGTAGTAATGTTCGAAGTGGGGCAAATTATGCGGATAAGGTAAGAATATATTATAATTATTTGTTTGTATTATTATTTTGTTACCTAATTTGATTATAATTATTTGTTTGTATTATTTATTTGTTACCTAATTTCATTATTATTATTTGTTTGTATTATTTATTTGTGACCTAATTTTATTATTATTATTATTTGTATTATTTATTTGTTACCTAATAATTTCATTAGTATTATTTGTTTGTATTATTTATTTGTGACCTAATTTCATTAGTATTATTTGTTTGTATTATTTATTTGTGACCTGATTTCATTATTATTATTTGTTTGTATTATTTATTTGTTACCTAATAATTTCATTAGTATTATTTGTTTGTATTATTTATTTGTGACCTAATTTCATTATTATTATTTGTTTGTATTATTTATTTGTTACCATGTTTGTATTATTTATTTGTTACCTAATAATTTCATTATTATTCATTTGTAGCAACTTCAAGCACAAGCATGGTATGCTGCCAAAATCAAATCAAGAAACAAATCATTGAACCGGTGGGAATGTTGGAATATTGTTAAAGATTGTCCTAAATTCAAAGTTGTGCATGTTGGTCCAAAAGTATGCATGAACATCACCCCTCTACACAACACTCATCCACACTCTACACCCAATCATGGCTCCTATGTTGATGAAGAAGAAGGAGAAGAAGTGCCTGAAACGCCCATTCCTGAACAAGCATCGGGGTTGACCCGTTATCCAATTAGGCCTCAAGGTAAGAAGGCTTCAAAGAGGAAAGGGAGTGCTTCCAAGAATGATTATGGAAAGTACATGCAAGAACTTGCTCGTCAAGGTGAATTGACATTGGCGCGGGAATTGGCGAAATATGAGGCTGAAAAGGCTAGAGATGAGGCAAAAACTGTAGCTATTCAACAAGCATTTCAAGCTGAATAGAGGGAAAGAGAGCTACTTGGGCAAGAAAGGGAGTTGCTTAGAGAAGAAAGAATTGCACAACGAGATCGTGACATTATGAACACGCATTTAGAAGAGATGTCTCCAAATTCTAAATATTTTTGGCAATCAGAGAAAGCGGATGTGGTGCAAAGGAGGCGTGCAAGAGAAGCGAGATCAAGACAAGATGGTCCTAGCACAACAAGACAAGATGATCCTAGCACCACAGATTGGTTAAGTGATGATGAATAGGGTACTTTTTGTAATCGGAGCCCATAGTTTTCCAATCACTTTGGGTTGTAATTTATTATTTATGTTGTTTTCAATTTATTGAAGTTAATACTTTATTTAAAGTAAGAGTACATTTATTTAATTTCGTAATATATTTATCCTAATAATAGAATCTTTATTCATCAAATTGTTCACATATAATGAAATTATAAAACTGTTGACCGTAAAACTACCAAACCTACGTGGCACGCAGGCCGAGTAATCTATAAGCTAACTACGTCCTTCGGTGAATGCGGGGCGTGCCAACTCGTCGGTCGAGCTCGGCCAAGGAGTAAATTTGTTGATGTTGCGTTGGGCGCGCGACTGACTTCTGCGTCTTACGATTGCAACCGAGGAAGGAACACGTCTCGGCCTCTTAAGTTCTCGAACCTGAAGACAAGGCTACTATTCTTACGAAGTTCACAAATCGCCGTCGTCGGATTCTGTCACAGTGATGTTATTCATCAGAGTAAACTCACGCCGAATCGACACCAAAGTGTAAGGGCACAAATACTCAAACCGAATATAAGTCTTGATAGTAAACGTGGTTCGACCGTCTGAATGTCGAACTCTAAATCCCACTTGAGAGTATCCAATCATAAAATCACTCGGCGTGCAATGCGCCGAGTTCAGTAAACTGTAACACCTCACTTCGTCGAGAGGGCTAATGAGATGAACTCCACCGAGCTCGGTGAACAGTTGGTATATATTTCATGCATTTGAATGGCCTCCACCGAGCTTGTCCTTTAGTTCACATGTGCTGACTTCGACCATTCCTAACAAAATCTTTGCATGCCGTGATATATCTTTTTTGCATGCCACCCTTTTTTGGTCGAGATCCCAATTTGCATGCCATGTTATATCTTTTTGCATGCTACCCCTTTTTTGGTCGAGATTTGAATTTGCATGCCATGTGGCGTGCAAGCCTACATAAAGTCCCACTGAGAAGAACCTAATTCTTAATACAATTGGTGGATGATTTGGTTAGGACGTGGTGGCCTGCATGGGACTGAGAAAGCTAGGCAGCCGAGAGAAAACTAAGCTGAGAAAAATGAAACTTGACTCTCAGTAACTCGGCCTACCATCAATCCTCGGCCATTCTTTCAGCAGCAAACGTTTACTCCAGCCATTGAATTTAATAGCTCATTTGAATAAACTCCATTGAGTGGGTCACCGAATAGATCTTATCATCAAATGCCAGTTAACCCAAATCAAATCAGTGTTGAATTAGTAACCGAGTGGCCAACTGAAAGAGAGTAACCGGAGGTGAGAGAGAGTTTTAACAGCCCATTTGTGAGA